GAAACAACAAGGTATCTGGTTGGTCTCCAAAAAAAGTTATATTAGTAACGGAAATCAACTTCGACGAGAAAGAAAAAATGGAAATTCCTCACCATATGTGTTTTGTTTTTTGGATGTTATCAGCAACAGACTGTCTGAGGGTTCGGTAGAGTCTGAATGTAGTCTTTAGGGTTCGAAAACGAGACAATTCCGCTGTTTGGTCATCTGTCTGTGGAGTAGGGAAGGTGAGTGTAAGCCCCCAGCACATAGGCCACATGTGATCCATTGTACATCCTCCCGAGGAGTTGTCCTCCTGGGCTATCGTCCATCCTGCCCTTTCCAAGAAGGTGGATAGGTCACTGGGAGACATCTCCTTTATATCGGCAGGTGTAGGCCAAGAATCGCCGAACACACACTCTCCTATTGACGATAACTCCGGGCACTCGCATAGGACATGCCTGACAGTCTCATCTTCCTGTTCACACATTCTGCATAGAGGTGTGTCCACTAGCCTCATATTATGGAGGTGTTTTCTCAGTTGACAGAGGCCAGTCAGAAATTCCACTGTTAAGCGTAGATTTTTCCGGGTCATCGCCAGATATTTCTTCGGCGCCAGCTTCCCAGAATCGCCTATAGTCATCCTGGCAAGATTGCATCCTTTGATTCCATCCCATCTCTTTAAGGATTGAGAATAGGTGTAACATTCGACTAGTTCCGCAATTGTCGAAGTCGTCAGGCTGTAGGTGCCACTGGGTCCTAAAATTTTTAGTCCAGCCGCTTCCTTGGCTAAAGAATCGGCAATGCGATTAGCTTTACTCCTGTCGTGCTCTTTAACCCGCCTTAGGATAATGTTATTATCTACCGAAGCTTTGGCTAAATCTTGGTGACACTCTAGTACTAGCCCTGAGGTTATACGTTGTCTGTTGATAGGGCTTGTCTGCTGTCAGTGCAGATTGTTATGTTTTTGCCAGAAATTCCTTTCCTGGTAATTTCTTTTGTGGCAATTGAGATACCAGCCAGTTCTGTTTGGACCACGCTAGTGTTTCTTCCCATACCCCACCTAATTCTTAGGCTTAGTGATCTGGAGTATGCCTTCTTTGGTTTTTGAGCCGTCTGTATATATGCGTATTGTATTTGTAGCATCTGACGCTGTGTTCTGTTCAATTTGTATTTTGTAGGGTTCATTAAACACAAACCTGGGATGAATTGCATCACTGGTTGCCTGCAGCAGAGGTCGCGCAGTAAGCGCTTCCCGCCATAGGCCCAGCATCAATTGACTCATTCCTACTTCGAGGTTTACACCAGCCGTGCGCAATCGTACCATGGCCATTAACGCAACCTCCTTAACGTACAGATCCAGAGGGGTCACACCCGTAATTATTTCCACTGCCGCGGTTGGTGTTGTTCTCATGGCTTCTGTGATGTTTGAAGAAGCCAGTCGCTGTATTTGATATAATTTTTGGATGGCCGTTGCTCGTAGAATTTTTGGTTCCCATGCAATGGCTCCGTACGTTAATTTTACCCACACGGGGTAGAAGACGCCATGTGCATCCCACTGTCCTCCGACATTGCTCATAAGCCACATATGCTCTTTTTGCTCCACTCTGTAGGTGAGAGTTCCATGTCGAAGATAGTATCAAGATATTTCAACTCTTCAGAGAAGTTTATTTTGCTTTTGAAGATTTCGTGAGGTTTTAAGCCCGGTAAACTTCTTTTCCTGGTGGAAAGGACCATCTCAGTCTTCTTGGGATTGATCGACAGAGAGTGTTTCTCACACCATGTTTCTATCAATTTGAACCCATCCTGCGTTCTATCGCACAGTGTGCCTGTCTGCAAGATAGCAATGTCATCTACATATGCAATTGTGTAGAATCCATTTTTGTTAAGGTGATTAATTAGGGTATCCAGAAATATGTTCCAGAGAAGGGGTGATAAGACCCCTCACTGTGGACATCCCTTCATGACCAGTCTTCTCACTGTGATGTCTTCTACTTTAATACTTATTACTCTACTAGAGAGCATCTTGGGTATACATTCTCCTACTACCAGGTGTACATTCCTGGAATTGACTTGCTGGGTTGTTTTGTCACACGCTCCCTCGATATCTATGAATATACACAGGGTGGATTCTTTGTTGTCCAATGATCTTTCATATCTGTCAACCACATGGTGAATGGCCGAATCAGTAGACCTTCCCGGAGTATATGCATGCTGATTTGAATGAAGTGGGTTGTGAACTAGTACTGCATCTCTTATGTACCGCTCACATAGCCTCTCCATAGTTTTTAAGAACGATGTGAGACTAATTGGTGGGAATGCTTTTGGATAGTCCATCCTTCCTGGTTTGGGTATAAATACTACTCTTACTTCCCTACACTTACTGGGAATATACCTCAGAGATAGAGAGGCTCTAATATTCCAACCTAGTGCGGCATAAGAATGTTCTGTCCCCATTGAAGTAGGGCTGGTCTTATACCGTCAGGTCTTGGTGACTTGAAGGGGGAAAAGCCCGATATAGCCCATCTTATCTTGTCCTCATCAGTTACTGCACTACCAGATTCCCAGTCGTATTGTGAGGGTGTTGTGGGTACATCCGTCTAGTTCGTTGTTCCAGGAAAGACAGAACCTGGGAAGTGAGTTTCCATATTATAAATATCCTGGATTCGAGAAGTATATTTTGAACTGAAGGAACTCAAACTTTTCTTTTCCCAAAACTGGTCGGCAGCAAAGACAGTATTTGGAGATCCAAAAGGATTCCAAACCAGACAAAACGTTAACGGTGGTTGGACAAACCACGTTCCTTGGAAAATATCAATGATTGTACTTGTCCGTAGCATAATACAAACCGGCAGATCTACCAAAAATGATTTCAGTTGTAGTATTGGTTCCAGAAATTGAATTGTTAAAATAACTCACTTCTTCTGAGGGAAAGGTTTCCACTGAAATAATGCGCAACACAAATATAGTAACTGACGTGACATACTTTACTTTCGTTTCTGACCCGTCACTCAAAATCGTCTCAGGTTGACATGCTCCTGACCAGGACCATTAACACAAACTCGTCCCTTGCGCCGTGACACACGCTGACGAAATGTGTCTACTCAAATGGCTTACTTCTACTTTGTGTGAAGTATTCATTGAGCATTCCTTCTTTCTGAACTACCAAGTAAATTACTGGTGATTATGGAAAATGATTTCCTTCAATAATACTTCGTTTTTCTTCAGACTACACCAACTATGCAATAGAATACATAATTATCAAAGCGGATGTTTAGTAGATTGAAACTCTAAAATTGTATACATGTATTTTATGATTTCCACAAGTAAATGATACATTTAATTTTCATTAGTTGTCAGTATTTTAATTTTTGTGGAGTTTTTTGAATCGCAAGTATATGCGAATATATTACAAACCACATCAATCTTCAAAGCCAAAATGACCCATGACATCGATCAAATTCAGCCTGATTTATGCGCCAGTATGAAGGAAAATTGAACGTTTCGGAGACGGTCTACCCAGCATTAGAGCCGTGGCGGATATTTGATGTTATACTGCACACATAATGGCATCAATAGATTTCTCAAACGAATAAAAAACGTTGTTGATCTGTATCTGTAGAGTACGGAGGGTGAGTGAAGGCCCACATGTGGCCCACTTAGGCCACATGTGATCCATTGTACATCCTCCCAAGGAGTTGTCCTCCTAGGTCATCATCCATCCTGTCCTTTCCAGGAAGGTCGGCAGGTCTCTGGGAGACATCTCCTTTATATCGGCAGGTGTAGGCCAAGACTCGCCGAACACACACTCTCTTATTAACGATAACTCCGGACATTCGCATAGGACATGCATGCTAGTGTGTCCACTAGCCCCATATTATGGGGGTGTTTCCTTTGTTGACAGTGGCCAGTCAGAAATCCTACTAAGCAGTGTAGATTTTTCCTGGTCATCGCCAGATATTTTTTCGGCGCCAGCTTCCTAGGGTGACCAAGGGTGATCCTGGAAAGATTGCATCCTTTGATTTCATTCCATCTCTTTAGAGATTGAGCATGGGTGTGACGTTTGGCTCGTTCCGCAATTGTCGAAATCATCAGGCCCTAGATACCACTGGGTCCTAAAATTCTTAGTCCAGCCGCTTCCTTGGCTAAAGAGTCGGCAATGCAATTACCTTTACTCCTGTCGTGCCCTTTAATCCACCTCAAGATAATGTTATTATCTACCGAAACTTTGGCTAAATCTTGGTGGCACTCTAGTTCTAGCCCTGAGGTAACACGTCTGTTCAAGGTTAATAGGGCTTGTCTGCTATCAGTGCAGATTATTATGTTGATTGAGATACCAGCCAGTTCTGTTCGAACCACGCTGGTATTTTTTCCCATTCTCCACTTAGTCTTCAGGCTTAGTTATCTGGATACACTCCATATCTTGAGCCTTTTTTGGTTTTTGAGCCGTCTGTATATATGTGTATTGCATTTGTAGTATCTGACCCTGTGTTCTGTTTTATTTGTATTTAATAGGGTTAACCAAACACAAACCTGGATTGAGTTGCATCCCTGGTTGCCTGCAGCAGAGGTTGCGCAGTAAGCGCTTCCCGCCACAGGCCCAGCCTCAATTGACCCATTTCTACTTCGAGGTTAACACCAGCCGTGCGCAATCGTAACATGGCCATTAACGCAACCTCCTTAACGTACAGGTCCAGAGGGTTCAGACCCGTAATTAATTCCATTGCCGCGGTTGGTGTCGTTCTCATGGCTCCTGTGATGTTTAAACAAGCCAATCACTGAATTTGATATAATTTTTGGATGGCCATTGCTTGTAGAACTTTCGGTTGTTGATTTCACGCACACTTTGTTTTATTTGAATTTAATGATAAGAAGCGCTCAATGAAGGACCCTATTATTCCTATTATTCTTTTCCTCTAAATTACGAAATTAGTGATATTCCATTTTAATCCAGTATAATGAAATTTCTGTGTCAATTTCCTTCATCAAGTACTTATTTCCTGAAATTCAGAATATTCTCACCCATGACTTCTTGGAAATTTCAATTCACTTCTTTCTGGCAGGTTTTACTCCTAGAAGCAGGACCTGATGAAAACGAAATCAGCGACGTACCTTCATTGGCAGCATATTTGCAGCTGTCCAAATTGGACTGGACATATAAAACTGAATATACCGGAAAGGCTTGTTTGGGTATGAAAAACGGGCGGTGCAACTGGCCAAGAGGTAAAGTCTTAGGAGGATCTAGCGTTCTGAACTACATGTTATATGTGCGGGGCAACAAACACGACTACGACTTGTGGGAACAATTAGGTGAATACTTTCATTACTCACTTGCTGATGAAATGGAAATCTACCAAACTAGGCAAACCTTTGTTCCCGATTTATTTTTTATACTGTTACTTATAAATAACCTGTATTATCTTTTTCAAAGTACTGAGAGAACAAAAAATATTATAACTAATTGATACAGTTCATTGTATGATTTTCACTATAAAGGGTTTCTCAAAAAATGCGACACGTGTTTCGCTATACAATAGCTTCATCAGCTTTATAGTGAAAATCATGCAATAAACTGTATTAATTAGTTTCAATTAGTTTCAAAACTACCAATATATCCACAAAAATACACTTGCTAGTTGAATCTAACATCATATCTGATTTCACTTCAGGTAATCCAGGTTGGAATTACGACAATGTTCTGAAGTATTTCAAGAAATCCGAAGATAACAGAAATCCGTACTTGGCAAAAACTCCCTACCATAGCAAAGGTGGACTATTAACTATACAAGAGAGTCCTTGGAGGACACCTCTTGTGGTCGCATTTTTGGAAGCTGGTTTGGAAATGGGATACCCTATTAGAGACATTAATGGAGCTGAACAAGCAGGGTTTATGATTGCACAGGGTACAATAAGACGAGGTACAAGTTATTTACATTTTTTTAAATCGATACTTTAATGAACTACAACTTCAGTCATATTGGTGTGGTGGTGGTATACATTGGATATGCGTTACTAATAATTATAATTTCAACATTGAAAACCTAATTTGAAACAGTTTGGACGTTTCAATTTCCGTTGATGCTCCTTGATATATTATTTATTAAATAAATCAGTCCTATGGGGTGCTTTGAAGATATGATTAGGGAATCTGTTGACAGAGCCACTCCTAACTTATTTTATCATTATTTCCAATACTTGTGATGCACTGTTTGGAACCTTTGGTATAGTAATGAATATTACTGGAGTTTTATCCAAACACCAAACCGTTATTTTTAACACTTTGACACGTGTTTTGATCACGAAGTGATTATCTTCAGTTTGATCTTTCTCTTGCAGATGATCACTTGGTGATGGAAATACGTCTCGAAGTGTTAAAAATAACGATTTAGTGTTGGGATAAACTCTGGTAATATTCATTAATTCCAATATCACCACTGTTGAATTCAAAATTATTGAGGCATACATGTTTCAATATCTTCTCAATATTGCTTCACATATACTCTGGTCGACAAGTGGCTTTCAGATCAAATTCGGCTTCAAACTCCTGTAGAGAGTCTCCTGATTTCTAGCAGCGGTTTTTCAGCTGTGAATGTCAAACGTGCTCTAGGTGGGCCTGCCCAAACCGTAGTTCAAGATACTTTATAAGTTGGTCATAGTCTTCCTGTTCTTGGGCTGTGAATGTTTGCAAAATATTCGTTGCTTCTCCACGCAACGCCAGTGTTAATGCTACCGCCTTTTCTCCTGCATTCCATCTATTAGCTCTCGCCGCAGCTTCGAATTGTCGGCGGTAATTTGCTCAAGGAGTTTTTCCGTTGAACTGGGGCGGCTTATGGAGAGCTTTCCTGATTCAGATATGACTTTGATGTCTTTCATTGCCCTTTGAAGACCTTCCATTTTAAAACCATGTTCCGGAATTGAGTTTTCGGTAATAGTTTCTGTGGTGTAGACAGAATTAACGATTTGGTTTTGCAAGTTGCTAATTGTTTCCTTCATCTTGCTTATTTCTGCCTCAACTCCGCCCTTCATTTCCGCTACCTCCGTGATCATTTCCTTCCTGATTTCGTCTATCTGTCTCGATGGTTCCTATCCTTTCTTCGAGTAGACTCGCCACACAACAGTTATTTCTTCAAGCCTTCTGCATTTTCTTTCTATTCGAATTCTTTTGAAATTCATCTTCCAAACTTTTCGAATTTTCCAAAAGCATGTCTTCCAAATTCTTCGAATTTTCCAGAAGCGTCTCCTCCTGACTTACCGAATTTTTTGAAGTTCATCGAGTTTGCTCATTATTGAACACAAATCACCCCCAGGAACTTCGAATGAATATGTTTCGGGATCTTCTCCTGATTCAGTCAAGTTATCCCACAGACTCTTGTGGAGTACTGATTTCTTTCCAGAACAATCTAGCTCTCTCTCCTCCAATTCTTGCTTTAGCTTCGAACACATTTTGTCTCTTACTGTCTATTTTCCCCAAAACTGTATATGTCCACTCATTTTAATCGAGTCCGAAAACACTAAATTCACAAGTCTATTTTTTGCGTCAGTTTATATTTCCGTAGTCCGGTACTGTCCACTTCACGAAACAAAAATGATCTTTTAGAAGAAGATTATATCTTCAATGGAGATCTTGAAAATTTGGCACATAGAAAATAAATGTTTAAAGCCGAATCATTTGAAAACATTGGAAATTAATAAACTTGTTTTCTTAGTAATCAATGTTATCCTGGTCTTGTAAACATATCATTGACGTAGAAGTAATTTATGCTCTGGGCAATTATAATTGAGTATCTACCTGAGGTATAGAAAAGTTGAGTGGATGTAGATACAGTGCATTTCTTTAATGTCCCCTCCCTTTTAATTTTTGAACAGGCCAACTAAAAAAAATTAAATTTGGAATAATATTTTGAAGTGCCCCCCCCCCTTTTAATTTTTGAACAGGTCAACTCAAAAAATTGAAATTTGAAATAATGAAATTAACGCATGAATACTTCATTTTGAAGTGAAATTGACAAATGAAACTTTCAAGATGGCGACTGGGCGCCATCATTTTCGACCACAGTAACGTCAATATCTCTACAAATATTAATTATTCTTTGTCGTATATCCAATATTGAAGCAGTTTCAGTTTCGTACACCTTTTGCCTCAAATAGCCCCATAACAAAGTTCAAAGGCGTCAAATCTGGCGAGCGGGCTGGCCATTCTGTAGAACCTCGACGACCAATCCAACGACCGGGAAAAGTAGTATCCATATAATTTCTCACTTGTCTGGAGTTATGTGGTGGTGCTCCATCTTGTTGGAATACAATATCCTTATCGAATTCATTAGGATTCGCTTTGACGATTTCAGTGATGAGAGGGTCAACAGTAGTTTCCAGCATATCCAAATACAGTTCCCCCATTGAAGTTTGATCAATAAATAGAGGTCATACAATATGGTTTCTCAATATTCCTGCCCAAACGTTAATTTTTTCTAGATATTGGGTATGTGTTTCCTGGGAACGTGAGAGTTGGTGTCATTCCAATTTTTTTAAACAAAAAATAACTCAACAAGCCTTATCGGGTTGTTGGAATGCCATATGGCAGATAAAAAGAAATATTACTAGAAATATCGATATTAATGTGTTTGTATTCAGGAAATTATTAAATGTTCCGTCATTTTAGAGTAGGTGAAGATATCGACTTCATATTCTGGGGTTGTGAAGTATTCGTCAGGGGCTTCAAATTGATGTGTCACAAGACACCCCTTTCCATTAATTTTTTTCCCAGATAGCGCCCAGTCTCCATCTTGAAAGTTTCATTTGTCAATTTCACTTCATAATAAAGTATTCATGCATTAATTTCATTATTCCAAATTTCAATGTTTTGAGTTTAACCTTTCAAAAAATAAAAAAGGAAAGACATTAAAGAAATTCACTGTATGCTTCAGATAATTATGATTGAACCTTGACAGGTAGTTCTCACTGGTGATTACGTGGGGTAGTTAAAGAGAAGAATTAGTTTTCGGTATGTTATTCACTGCAAAAAAGCTAACTGTGAAAGCGAAACATGAGATATTTTCGAAAATGAAGTCTGTGAAAATTGAGTAGTTTCCGCTGTTGTTTGTAAAATTACTATGGATAATCTCAAGTAACGACCGAGTCAATAAGAAAAATATGTGATATTCATGAATGGTACCTCAGCATTCTTCAGTTAGTTAATTTTGATTCTGAGAAAAAAAAAATAATACAAGGTATCAACACTAAATAATACAATTGGTGGTTTAGATGGTTCAAATTTATACTGAGTGAAGTTCCACCAATTACTAAACATGGTTTCTGATCTGTCTGAATCAGTTTTGAAAATTTCAGTTCAATGTAAATCAAGAAATTGTTCACGGTGTTTCAGGGTCAAGATGTTCAACAGCCAAAGCATTTCTTAGACCAATCAGACTCAGAAAAAATTTACACGTTGCGCTCAATGCTCACGTAACAAGAATCCTGATCAACCCGTCGACTATGAGGGCTTTTGGGGTGGAATTCGTCAGAAATGGTAAGTGCAACATCTGAGTCAAATTTAAAAAAAAATCTGGGAAGTGAGTCATTCGTTGATGTTTTGGTATTTTATTGAATTCGGCCATTCTTCTCCTTGTCTTTTCAGAGTTGATTTTCCAGAATTTACAATTTTTAGAAAGCTAAATATGAAAGTAGCTTTCAGAACTGTGAAAAAAGTATATTGGTTAGGCCGAACGGGCTATTGAAACTCGTTTCAAAGAGGATTTGGCTCTCAGATCTGAACAGTCAAGTATCGTTCAACATGCCTTTGGAAAACGGTCACATTAATTTCTATTTTGTGCCCCTCAGATAAAATACACTTGCGTTTTTTACAATCCTCGAAGCACTTTTTGTTAAGTCCTTGGGCTATCTCAGCGATTCGGTTTTTTATTTCTCAATTGTCGCAAATCGCCGTCCTTTCATGGACCTCTTCAATCTTGGGAAGCGGGGACCAAATCCGGTAAATAAGGTGGCTGAGGCATGATTACGGTGTTGTTTTCANCTTACCACTTACTAGTTTATATATATGTAAACTCTGATGTATATATACATAGGGGTATCAAATGATCATGTCCTTCTCCCCATGCTGAATGATTCAATGTTAAATCTATATGTAGTTAAGTCTACTTGCAACTTGCACAACGAATAAATCCACTTCCTATCACACGAGAGTATTTCTTCCACGACCCACTCTCCGAAAGTAGCTAACCACAGTATTTTAATTAGTAAAAACCCCATTATAGCCCCCAAACGTTGCTCCTATCATTTAGAGGCGTTTGCAGGTTATAACAGCAGGTGCATTATAGTGAAACAAAAGTCAAGAATTGTTTTTCCAAAATACCGTATTACTTCCCGTAAGCGGCGCATAACTTCAAAATCGTACTCCTTATTGACCCTGCGCTTATGTGGCAAGAACTCGTGATGCACTACGTAATTGAAGAAAACAGTAAGGAAAACTTTGGACATTTGATCGAACTTGGCGTGATTTTTTTGGTCTTGGCTCTCCTGGGCTCTTCCGTTGGGAATATTTGACTTTGGTTTTGATTTCACAATCATACGGGGTGTTTCAAATTCGATCCTCACCATTGGGATCTCGGAAACTATGAGGGATACGAAGATGTTATATTGGGGCAAAGAAATTGCACTTCCACATTGCCACTTTTTCCCTGGTACATAATGGTGTTTTCAGATTTGCTATCCGACGTTTCGTCTTCCGGCAACCATCATCAACTTAATTTTTTCTTATGAGCACTACATTGGATTCTATGTTGCCTGCTATATATATTTCAAACGTTTTTTTCAACATTGACAAACTAATGTTTGGTAGGTCCACCTATATGAGATTAGTAAAATCTATATTAAATTGTAATATGTATTGGCATGTACACTGTTTCTTTATGATTTTTTTCATTATAGAGCCCTGATGATGGATTTATAAAGTCCGAAACATTGGCAAAACTAAATTGTTCATCTACGAAAAAGAGTTTGATCCCTTTCCCAACTTATTGAAAAAACAGCATTTAAAAATGATGAAAATATTGTATTTATTATCTTCAAATACATTTCAAGCAAATCGATCAGGTACAATTTGATGTTCATATGAAGATAAAAGGCCAAGTTCAATTTGCATGATAAGTCATCACTCTACTCGTCCACTCAACCTCAAAAAATGTCCTAGTACGCAAATGAGTGAACAAAAAAAGGAAAAATTATCTTCTACAGGGGTGCGCAAAAGTCCGGAATAAAATTAATATCTTTTTAACCAGTATTTTAGGAAAAAAAATGCTGAAATACATCAGTTGATTTCACGTTGTACGCATTTTTTGGCAATAAAATGAACCCTCCCCAACTTTTTTTTTCAAATGCAAACATATGTCGTGTATGGGCTCATTGAAAAGCTCGTAAAAATGAATTCCGACCATACCCTTTATTTTTTTTGTGGTTACAACGAAATGAGAAAAAACTCTGTTGAAAAGTTACAAATACCTAACTTGGTGCTATCTACGGGTGAATTAACGTAACAGATGCTGAAATTCTACTTGACAGGCTCCTAGGCGATGGTAAAACGCGTCTACGGAATTCCGAATGGCCTCAGCCGGTATGTTATGTGATTCCACTCTAATTCTGCTTTTTAGATCTTCAATATTAGCCGGCCTATTCTGATAAACCTTGTCTTTCATATATCCCCAATAAAAATAATCTAATGGCGTTAAGTCTGGGGATCTTGGCGCCCATTCAATTGTACCACGTCGTCCAATCCAGTGTCCTGCAAATATGTCATCGTGATACTCTCTGACATTGATACCAAAATGTGAGGGAGCGCCGTCCGTTTGAAACCAAAGTGTATCAGTGGGGATATCTGGATCTGCTTCATTGGGAAACACAACAGTTGAAGCAGGGACTAATTCAAAGCGGAAGAAGTCTAAGTAGCGTGCAGCTGTAAGGTTTCTCTAAAAAAAGTATGGCCCTAATATTCTGTTGTTGATGATGCCTGCCCATACATTTACTTTCTGAGGACGCTGCGTACGAGCTTCGCATATCCAGTGTGGGTTNCTTGATGATCAATACACTTTTACATTCGTTCAAACCATTTGTCAAAGCAGTTTTTCCATTCCTCTTGATACACCTGCATAACATGGTTTTTGAACGCTTCAACTACTTCTTCGGCGCTCGTAAATTGTTGACCACGCAATTTACTTTGATATTCGAGAACAAGAAAAATTCATTGGATGCTAAATCACGACTGTACGGAGGATGAGTCATCAACTCGATGTGTGAGAGCTCGCATTGTCATGATGGAGAATGATTTGTCTTCGGCGATTAGCTTTATGGATTTCTCCGAAGACTTCCGGCAAACAAATGGTCGTGTACCACCCAAAAAATTTACCGTTCTACGTTGCGAAACAGTGGCCACATGGCCCAATCGGTCGAAGAAAAACATGACCATTTGCTTGGCTGTGCTTTTTCCACGAACAACTTTTGTTGTATTAAGCTCGTCTTGGAATACCCACACGGTCGGTTGCTGTTTTGTTTCCGGCTCATAGGCTTATTATATCTTGGATTCGTCACCTATCATGATTTCATATACGTCTTTTGAAGCACCAAGGTCGAACTTTTTAATCATTTCCTTACACCACTTAACAACACCATCGAATGCACTGTAATATAGGAGTCTAAACTCTTCTAAGATTATTGAGAGAAACATTTTGGATACTGAAAGGAAGAAAGTTTGTTAATGCGAAATGTTTGATTTTTATGAAACATAAAAAAAACGCAGATACACCGTATGCACCATTACCTTTGAAAAGAATCAAACAATTTTCGCCATTCCAAGTAACAGATGTGGATTTCGCAGGACCGCTTTCTCTTAAAGGAGGCGAGAAATTTCGGATTTTCATCTTCACGTGTGCGGTATACAGAGCAGTACATTTTGAATTAGTGCGATCCCTGTCTACTGAGGATTTCTTGATGGCACTCAGACTATTCGTGGCGAGAAGAGAAAATAATATTTCTGTAATCTATTCGGATAACGGTGGGAATTTTGTAGGTACTTGGAATTTATTGCAAAAAAATTCGTAGGGAGATATTGAAGAATATTCGACAACCAGGATTTTCCAGGATGCTTCAACAACTCCTTGGTGGGGAGGATGGTGGGAGTGAATAGTCAGAATCATAAAGTAATATTGCGTCGTAATTTGGGAAAATCATGGACCTTTCACATATATCTCAAGTAGCGAAGAGGATCTGATTCCATTAACACCTTTGATGTTTATTATTTCAAACTCAAGCACCGATAATGTTGACAGAGGTCATCTACAAAAGAGCCTTTGTATTCGATTTAGGAAGGAATATCTGACAGATTTAGTCCATACTGGTCAACTTCACTCGAAATTGGAGATATTGTACTCATTGGAAGTGACAACAAAAAACAACTGTTTCCAGGAAGAGCTGGAATAGAAAGAGTAAGACGAGTTGAAACAGAACGAGGGGAACTAATTTGTCCTCTGCAGCGATTGTTTCCATTAGAAATCGAGGCAGACACAGCGAACTGATTAGAAAAGACTAGACAAGTGGATACTAACGAGATACCAGAAAATCAAGATGAAGAAAACAATAGAATTTACAATGAAAATGTTACACAGCAAGAAGAAGATGAAGAGGGAAAGAATAAATATGAAAGAAGACACCAAGATGCGACGGCTTCATCCCAAGTCATAACAAGATCTGGAAGAAGAGTGAAGATACCGAAGCGTTTTGGGTTGGAATAATTTTGCAATTGGATTGCAAAATGGGGGAAGAATGTTGGAATTGTTTATTATATTATTTAGATGTTGATATTTTCTCTCCCTATATGAATAATTTCATTTTCTGATTTGTTTTGTATCTATGGTCTCCAGTTGGGTTCAGTTGTTAATGTAATATTAATAAAAAGTCATTACAAAAAAAGTCAAAATCTATTTTCAAAACGATAAAATATATGAGAATCCATCCCATTTTTTTACAACTGAGTGTTCTTGCAAAATCGAATGTTATGAAGCGGAACTAATGTGCAAGGATGACTCTATCTCACAATATGTCAACATGATGATCTTGCAATGTCAGTTCACGAACTGCATTGATGTTTTGTGGCACATCAACCGATTTTGGACAACCTTCACGGATACGTCGGCGACCGAACTACGGCCACGATTGAATTCACTATACCAGTGACATACTGGAAAACTATTTCATTTGGAATTTTTATATATCAATGCACAGTTCTTTTCTGAAATATTCTCCAATATGCAGAGTGTATATTAATTTCTATAATTGCATTCCGTTTGAAAATTACTTTGAAAAAATATAGGATTGTATAAGTGTATATCTAGTTTCGACAAGAAGTAACGCTAGCATGAAAGCTGGAAGGAAGAATGACCTTGACGTAGGTGCAGAAAAATTGGGAAATCGAAGGTATTGGAGAAACAGATGGCCCGGAACTCTGCATTCCACTTTTCACTC